CACAGCTGAAATGAGAAACGAGAAACAATCGATAGAGACGGGAAGAAAGCCTCACCCCTCTATAGAGAGTCTTTTTTTTTAAGACTCCTCAAACAGGTTTTTACGACCACCTTATTAAACCAAGCGATCCGGATCCCTTCAAACTCATATTTTTAATAAGACGTGTGGAGAATGTCCATGACTGTGAAGCTGTTTGTTGTAAGGTCAGTGTTAGGGGTCAGGGTTCTGTGCCTGGAGGCTGATGTTCAGTGTTCAGGTTGGATGTAGAGGATGTAGCTCTTGGTGTGGCTCAGAGTCGGTCCCCGTGGTGTCCGCTGACCCAGCTGATGTGAAGTAAAGTAAATCGACCTTACACAAGTCTTTTTTTTTTTTTTTTAATAAACTGTTCCTCTCCTGCGATGTCAGCGTTCTCGGTGGAGCTGATCTGTAACCCCTCAGAGGACTGGGGCTTTAAGTGAAACCAGATAAAGGTTAGAAATAACTGGAAGTGATCCCCGCTGCTTGTCACACAGAAAGCTCACAGTGCTGCTGTGGTGCAGTTTTTTTGTGTTTGCTGAACTTTGCTGGGATTCATTCTGTCGTCTAACTTTGCAATGAAGCCGGACGTGTTGATCGCTGATACAACCTAAAGGAGAGACCTTCACTTTAAACCAAATATAATCATGCTTCCTCCTTTTTTGACGACTGATTACCACATCAGATAATTTTTTTTTTTTTTGATAATGTTCATTTTCCATAAATCAAACTCTGAAAACTATTAAACCTATATGTGTCGCTAGTTGCTGAAGCTAACTATCCAACCAGCTAAACAGTCCCCAATAAAACTCCACAAAATGTTGCTAACTCATGAAGTTTACTGAGGTTTCTTTTTTTGTGAAACTGAAAACAATAAAATAAAGGTCCTTATTAATAAACACAAGGAAGGAAGTTGACTGTGCATGTCTATGCATGTTAAACAACCTTTAGATTTTGTTCTTGGGTTAAGTTGCTGCAAACACCACATTTCCTCTTTCAAAATAAAAGTGTCTCCACAACATAATACCAAGGGACTTTTATTGTGACCAGTTTGATTTGTAAATAAAATATTTTTTTAAAAGATTAATAAAAAAGTAACGTTCATTCAGGTTCCTTTTTATTTTTCAGCAATTTTCTATTTTTTTTTTAAATTACTGTACTTGTTTTACATCAACGCACGCCCATGAAAAACTGAAAGGACTACTCCGATTTTTTTTTGCTGTCATTTATTATTATTATCTCAAAATGCTGACATTGTATAGTGTGATTGGTTCCTTTCTGATCTTAACTTTAATGTTAAATTAACCCATTCATTGAACTCAGAAGTAAAGCAGCTTTGTTCAGGCTTTGACCATCATACTACGCCTTATGTAAAACAGGAGGGTCTGACCTCTGGGAATGTAGTTCTTGACTTCTAAACTTGATTTTTATTTAGTGTGTACATTTACTGCTTGTACCTACACTGCTAGCTAACGCATGCTAACATAAGCTTGATCCAAAGGCGACTCTTCAACCGAGTCCAGTCGCCTTTGGATCAAGCTTCAAACTTAGCCTCCCTGCGTTCCTCCAGACGTTTAATGCGTGATGTAAAACTATTCAGCGGGCCACATGAGGGAGATCACAGAAACATGAAACTAGCAGCAAGGACGAGCTGTGACAGCGATGTGGGATTCTGCTGGGTCTTCTGGGGGGGGGGGGTGGACGGATTGGGGATAATGAGTTGTCAAATTGAGCTAGCTAGCATTAGCTCAGGGTGCAGAGTCGCAGCTTATCTCCCGGTGGAGGCTTCCCCTCTGGTGGCATTTGGCAGCCCAGCACAGGAAGCTCCTGCTGCTGGCTTTGAAGGGAGAGCGAGGAAAACGGGCGAGGAAGACGGAGATACGGTTACAGCGGGAGGGCAGATGGCGTCTCATTCTGATAAGCTTATCAGGGTTTCCCATGCGCCTCTCCTCCTCATGTTCCTCCTTCCTTTAATCTCCCTCCCTCTCTTCTCTCACAACCCCCCCCCCGAGTGTCTTCAGTGACACGCTGGATCTCCACCGTCAGCGTCAGCACGGGGAAACGTGTGTTTGTGTGTTTTTTTTAAGCCTCGATCTGCCCTCCAGATCTCCTCCACAGTCGTTTGTGGTGCCAGCTCGAGTTCCCCTCAGCGCTGCAACAGATCAGAGCTCCAGTGGGAAACAACGAGGAAGCACTTCCTGCTTTATCTCAGAGAGCCGTGAAACACAGCTCGTGAGGGAAACCGGGGTCCGACTTATTTGTGTTTTATATGTTAGGGTCTAAAAATAACTTAAAGTTAAATCTGAGGGCCCAGTCAGGTTTGGATCAGATCGTGTTAAACTGGTCGTTCAGAAGATGAAAAACAACTCCAGAAGAATATCCACCTTATGAAATACGATCCGGAGTCTGTATGTTGTGTTTTATTTTAAATTCACTGGACGCTCTGTGTGTTTCCTTGTCTGACTTCCTATCCGGGTCGTTCAAA